ATATTGGCAGCCTTGACAAATCACATTTTCTTGTATATTTTGAAGATCTGGTATGCCATCTAACAACCTCTGCAAAGAAATTTGTTGCAGCATTTGATAACCTACATGTCCCAACCTAGCATGCCAGATTGCTGCACTGTTAGCTTGGCTTGTCTTCTTCACATATGCCTCCCCCACCGACATGACAAATAAAGAGCCTTTCTTTTCACCAGAGAGAACAACATCAGCCCCAATATTTTTCACATTATCAAGTACTTTCACATCGTTTGGGCCAAACAAAACATATTTTCCAGAATCAGTAATTTGAGAAACTGAAACTAAGTTTTTCTTCAAACCTAGTACATGGTAGACATCATTCAACTGAATACTTGCGTTATCGGCACCAATCTTCACAACACCTTCTTGTACCCCCGGATAGGTTGAGTTGTCAGCTATAACAATGACTCATTCTCCATTATGTTTATGCAGCTCTGAGAATAGTGAATCATTTCCGGTCACATGATGTGAGCAACCAGAATCAATGATCCATTCATCTTTGACGTAGTTGATTGTAGTTTGATTTGGTGCTGATTTGCGAGCAATGTTATTTCTTCCTTCAATCACCTCAGTAGTGAAGCATTGCTCCCAGTTGAGCTGGTCATCTTCATTTTCATCACAAGCAATATTTGCTTTGGAGAGCTTCACACGATAATTTCTCTTAATATGCCCAAGCTTCCCACACCTGTAACACTTAAAAGATTTATTACCTTGTGGGATATTTCCATTGCCATTCTTCTCATTCGTGCTGCCTTCAGAAAACTTTGCTTTGGAAAAGAGAACATCATCACGTTTTGAATTGAAATTCTTAGCCATTTGCTTAGCTAAGGCCTCATGGTTAGAGAGCAAGCTCTCTAATTCTTCAACTGATGGTTGTTTTTCCTATCCTTGAATGGATGTAATGAAGGACGTGTATTCCGTCTTCAAGCCACGAATGAAAAACCGTTGTAGACGAGCATCACTAACCTTTTCTTTGGGATCTAGCTCAGAAATTTCAGCGCAAATATTCTTGACGCGAAGGAAATATTCTGAGATTGACATACCTTCTTTCTTCGACATAGCCAACTCATTTTCCAAGAACTGTAGTCTTGTTGTATTCTTCTTAGAGAGCAGTCTCTCAAGAGTATCCCAAACTTCCTTTGGTGAACTAACATCACGAACATGACCAATGAACTCCTTGCTGATTGATGTTCTCAAAGAAAATAATGCTTTACCACATTTGATTTTCTATTTCCTTCGTGACTCAGCATTTTCAGGAGTGTCAGCTGGAATTTCATCAACACCGGAAACTAGTTCCCAAAGATCTTGACCTTGAAGACAAGCCTCCATGCACATTCTCCAATACCTGTAGTTTGTGCCTAGAAGTTTCTCAACACCATATTGTGTGTTAGAACTGCTTCCCCCATTGAACTCCATTTTGAGTTTCAATCTTCTCCAACAAGATGAACTTGATAGACAAGAAGAGTGAAATAAACAAGAACCTCAACGTAACTCTGATACCATAACACAAAAGAGCAGAAGTTGATTAAGGGAAGTACTGATGCTTGGAGAATAAACTGAATACCTTTTATTGAAGCACACACAAAATACATTAGACTGCTGAAATTTATAGATTTAAACATAACAACTTTTCCTAAAAACAATCAACTACTTAGCATAAAAATCTATCATCGCAGAGTAACTACTCTGTTATTTGACGGCTCATACTGACTTAGTCTACGCCTAAAAAATAGCAACAGAAATTTGACTAAGTAAGATACACTAATTTGTAACACCAAACACAGCCTTAGTTTTTATTCGATAAACAATAGTTTTTATTCGATAAATACCTATGTAACACTGATGATGTAATGGCGTTAATAAACTCTCACGAAACCAAACCCCTCATCATCAGTATAAGGTGGCCATTATTGGCTACTTCCCTTTAATTAATTATATAGAAGAGTTGGTTAATTATATTGAAGAATGTGGTGGCGTTTTTGAGTTCTATTGCTCCTTTCTTGATTTAAAGGTGGGATAATTGAGCAAAAGTATGTTCTATAAAGAGGTCACTAATAGTGCCACTCCTAATCAACCTTTGATGTGGAACCGAGTTCGTTTCATTCAAACCATAGCTGTTCGCAACACTTGGTTTCTATTACAATGAAGAAGCCTTGGACAATGAGCCACCATCGACTGTAGTCCTCTCTCCTGAGATAGTTTTATATGCTCATTGAGTTTGCTAAAGTAGTCAGAGTCAGGTCTGCTGGTTCAGGATATTTGCATGTCAACAGTTTTTTTCTTTTTTCCTATTTTAATGGTGGGAACTGGGAAGTGAATTGTTTTAACTTTTAAATTCAAAGAAATGGACAACTTAAGAATTTTACATTTGCTGTCAAATGTCATTAACTTGACAGGGATAAAGTGTTAAGAATCCAGAAATATAGGGGCGTCCTCTTTGTTGCAAAACAAAGTTATTGGCACCATCTCAACTACTGGGTCATTGGCGAAATTTGGATTAAGTTAACACGCTTTTGGCTGTCTAACAGGCTGTGAACCAATAATCATGGTTTTCAAAATGGGACCAGATCGGACGATCGGACCACAAAAATTGAGAATCGATCAGGTGACTGGTTTCGATTTTCCCTAAAACCGGAATTTCTTCAAAAACCATTGATTTTGGTTAGTAAATCGTTGACTCGGGCGGTTAATCGTTCGAACGATTTTGATCATTTTTTTATTTTCTTTGTCAGAACGGGCCAACCGTTCGGTTTGAACGGTCAGACCATTCGACCCGGTAACCGGACCCCTGACCGGTTCGGTCTCCGGGTCAGTTTTAAAAACCTTGCCAATAATAATGTCCCACGCCATCCATAAATGCTAAGGTTGTGTTTCGAAACGATGCAAATGGAGTGTAAATCTCGATTCATGGCAAATTTGCATTATACCGAACGGTCGGACCGTTCGACCCGATAACCAGACCCCTGACCGGTTCGGTCTCCGGGTCAGTTTTAAAAACCTTGCCAATAATAATGTCCCACGCCATCCATAAATGCTAAGGCTGTGTTTCGAAATGATGCAAATGGAGTGTAAATCTCGGTTCATAGCAAATTTGCATTCTAGTTCACTTTTGCTTGTGTTTGACAACATTACATTTATGCATTGACAAATGACAAAAAACACATTTTCCAATGCATATTTACATTGATAATAAGATGTAAAAGTACATGAATAAAAAAATAAATTTGCATTCAAGTGGGCTTTTGATAAAAAAAAGGCATATGTTTTATTGGAATTCGTGTTTGCATCAATTGTAGCTAAAAGCCTATTTCGTAAGAAGATAAATTTGTTGATGCAAAACTAGCCCAACTTTGCAATTTATACGGACCATTTTACACTCTACATATTTGCATTCACACTTTTTTGCACCATTTCCAAACACAGCCTAAGTGACAAATTTAGAACTGCAAAACCCAGCCTAGAAATTTTAGGGTTAGTCCCAAATTTTGTGTTCAGACCCAACCCGCACATAATGGCAGGTGTGCAATTTAGTAAATGGTAAAAATATAAGTTATAAATTAACTTTTACAACCTGTACCAAAACCAAGGCAAGTATCTAATTTATGTAGTATAAAAATTTTATATATGTTATATGCATAATTAATATAAAATATATATATTTAAAATTTTATACACAAAAGCTTTAGGCTCGGAATGAGACTCTACCAACTTGTGTTTCAGGCCCAAAGCCCAGGCCAGGCCGGCCATGACTTTCCAAATATATCCATTGTGTTTTACTTCTAAGGTCATCACTAGGGATGACAATGGGGTGGGTTCGGGACGGTTTTGTAAATCCTAGACCCTATTCACCTCCCTAACCCTCTCAACCTGTATATGCCTCAAGAACCCATAGTTGGTTGGATTTTGAAAATCCAAACCCTCCCCACACATGAAAGTGCAAAACCTCCCCCAACCCTACCCTCCTTACAATCATCTTATTTCAATTATCTTTCACATGAAATTTAAAATATTATTAAATTCAAAACCTAATACATAAAATTATATATTTTCCAATAATTAATATACAAGTTGGAGAGGGTCTGGTTTAGCCTAATACCATATTCTACCCATACCTGTATAGGTCATAGAATCCCAAAACCCATGTCCACCCAAAAATCTATCCTTTCAAAAAAAAAAGAAAAGAAAAGAAAAAACCCACCCCATGACAGGGTAAGAAACAAATACCCATCATACTAGGTATAGAAATTGTCATCCCTAGAAGGTAAGAAGCGAATACCCATCACACTAGACATAGTATATGTCTGGTTCCATTTACGTTTATTGATGGTGCCGCATAGGCGCCCCGGCAGCAAATGCCTCATTAATTGCATTTGTATGTATTGGAGTTTGCAAAAACAAGCTTACTAAAATGGGTAGGCATTTATTGGCATTTTACTGATACACTGTCTAATAGCACTATGTGTCATAATCGCTCTCATTAATTATTTTTCTCGATTTTATGGTTACAATTAAAAAATGTTTACTCAATAAACGTAAACCAAACACCCTCCTAGAAATTGTGATCCTACTCGTCACGCGGTATCCTAAGCTAGTACGGAATGATTTTTTTAATGTCACCCTCAAACAAGTTCGAATTTCTCTTGTCCATAACATAACATAAAAAGTAGCAAAGATGTTCCCTGTTTGCGGCTGTAGGATATGTGGCCGGAGTCTTGTGGTCAGCATATCAGAACTCCACATAGAGATCCACTTATCCAAACAAGGAAGGGGCCTCTCACTCTCTCATCCAATTCTTTATCCCCGAACAAGTGTCATACAGAATCTGCTACGTTGGAAGAACATAGATCATTCAAATCAGTTGATTGGCTCTCATTGGTTCCCCCTTCATTCTCTCTCACTGCCCATCCCTCAGTTAAATTTCCAAGACTCCAGACCAAAACCCTACACCATTTCCCGTCCCTCTCCTTCGCCTGCTACGCCGTCGCCGGCCTCAGCACCATGACCACCTCATTTCCATCTTCTGAGTCATGTAATGCATGCCATGGCTCCGCCGGGACGACTTCTTGTGGCCATGCCTCTACTTTTCTCAGCTTACTATACATGCCCCAGGTCGCTAATGATCATGACAGTAGTCAGTCTGCAGTAACCTTCTCCCCGGCCAAGCACTACAAGAGTGGATTTGATGAACTTTCATTCTTCGAACATGACGATGCAGTAACATGGTTGCATGGATCAGGACCTTCACCGGAGAAGGAACCAGTCACCAAGTATCAGGAAAGCCTACACAACAACTCCGGCTATTTGACACTTGGTGTTTGTTCCACCACCACTAGTTTGTCGGATTCTTCTCATGGATCATCTCCGGCAGAGGTGTCCGTTTTTGGAAAGGCTGCTTCTAGTGCCACCGTTGTGAGTAATATAATCGGACCTAGTATATATCTAGAGGGGATTATTACTGGTCTATAGTTGCATGGCCCGTTCTAGATTTTCTACTTACAAACAACCTCTCTCTCTCTCTCTCTCTGATCGTTTTCTTTTCTTTTTTTTTGTTTAATGATAGTTTTGTTCATGAAATCAATAAGATCCCTAGTGGAAAGTATACAGTTCTCCCCTAAAAATCTAAGAATATTTGAAATCGGTATCACAACATAAGTACTACAAGCAGAACTGGTTTCTGGTGCAAGTAAATGGCTTCATTACAGTCTCCGTCTTGTTATATATATTATGCATGATTTACTCCATATTCGTCCTGTCTTTTGGCCTCCATCAAGCAAATTAACAAGTTTCTTTAACCTTGTTTTGCCATACTGACAGATTTTCTTTTTTTTTTTAATCATTTGGAATATTTTTAGTATAGCTCCAAATAAATACATCTTGGATTGCAACGTAGACAGGAAATCTGAATTTTCAACCCATTCAATCAGCTTAACAACTAAAGATTGATCTATTGAATTGCGTAGTATTAACCATGCATGCACCTAGTTTTTCAATACAACTGATAAATTAATGCTTCTCTTTTTCTCTGAAATTAAGCTTTGTTTCTTTCACCCATGACTCATTTAAATTGCACACTATTAGAAGATATCAGTGCTGAAGAAGGAGAATCAGTGTAGTTTGCTCTTTTCTGTGATAAATTCACTTTTTGTCTTACCAAAAACTTCTTTCCTGATACCTAGCTAGAGAATAAAATCCATTCAGGAACCTTTCCTAGCTAAAAGGAAGAGCTTTTAGTAAAGGTGTCCCTGCATAGTTTTTTATTCTCCAACATTTCCAAGAAATAAGAAGATTGATATTCAAAAATCTAGTTGCAAAGTTTTACATAATCGACCGACTAACAAAACGATCTCAGTGAGCTAGTTCTTCTTAAAAGATTCCATCGGAATGATCACTTTCCCATCTAACGACTGAATTTTTCTTGCTGGTAGGTCCCATCGTCGAGGAGAATGTATTTGGACGCTTCAAGTGGAAATACTTACAGTAACGACATGGGGAATTCAGCGGCTTCAACAGGCCAAGGTGACAACGCAGCGCAGAGAGAAGCAAGGATCTTAAGGTACAAAGAGAAGAAGAGTAAGAGAAGGTATGAGAAGCAAATTCGTTATGCAGTGAGAAGTGCTAATGCTGAAATGAAACCACGGGTAAAGGGCCGCTTTGCAAAGAATTCAAATTCCACCCAACCGATGCCACGTCCTTAATTAACACAGCACCAAACCAATAACTAATAATTCGTGCAGAAAGGTTTCATTGCCTAATTATGTCACCATTAATTATTGTGCTAATTAAGCATTATTATTACAATGTTTGTCATTGGCTTGACGATTTATATTGTGGCTTTATATATTATATATATGGAATAATTTGATCTCGATCTAGATCTCTCTATCTCTCTATCTATCTATCTATACATACATACATACATACATATATATATATATTAAAGTTTCAAATAAGGTTGTGTTCACAAACGATGCAAATATGTAGAATGTGAAACAGTCCATATAAATTACAAATTTACCTTCTTACCAAACAGGCTTTTAAGTGTAATAGATGCAAAGGCCAATTCCAATATATATATATATATAATGGAGCCACGATGGGCTATCTAAGGACTATATCTAGACAGTTGGGTTCAACCCAAGAAATAAAAAATAAACAAACCTTTAGACCCAGGCCCAACCCAGGGACCGAAAATTTAAACCTAACCAATGTAAAATTTTTGGACTAGATTGGTCTAGACATTGGGACGGATCTGCCCAAATTGCACCCCTAGCACCACTGTCATGTCAAAGAATTAGCTGAGCAGCCTGAACCTGATAGACATAACTCGCCACCGGTTCAATGTAGTAATATTAGAGGCCATTTGATAATTGCTGAAGTGGCTGAACTAGCCAAATGACTTAATACAAAGTAATAAATCATTCAATTCAGCTACTTTTTGTTTATCAAAAGGCGCTTTTGGATTTTTTATAAACAATTAATTATTTTTGTTATTTGGGGTAAATTACTTATACCTCTTTTGAGATTCCACCAATTGCAAATTTCACCATCTCCCAAAAAATGTATGTATATTTTTGAAACGATTAAGGCTGCATTTGGCATTCCTTATTTTAAGGACTTGTCTCCTCTTTACAGTTAAAATGCTCTATGAACACTGAGTTTTTAACTGCAAAAAGGAGATAAGTCCTTAAAATAAAGGATGCCAAAAGCAGCCTAAAATGTCATCAAATTGATATTTTCAATCATTAAGGAACTAATTAATAATAATTAGCAAAGGAGAGGAACAGGTAAATACCAAGGGAGGTTTTAGCATATAAATGAAACCCCAAAGGGAATTTTAGTAATTTAGCCTCTATCCCTTTTATTTACCGACAGCATTGTAGGGGTGCAACTTGGGCAGGCCCAGCCCAACCCGACCCAAGTTTTTGCATGGGTTGGGCCTGGGCTAGAAACTTTTGGGCCTAGCCTGAATTTGGGTTGCGGCCTTGGGTAGCCCGAACCCGATCTGAGTCTAACCCAACCCAAACCAACCCTATATCAACCCAAGCCCACCCAAACAAATTTATAAATATATGTATTATATTATATGAAAATATCTTTCTTTTTATTATATATACATGCGTACATGTATAAAATATATATATATATATATATATATATATATATATATTTGTACATATTTTCAAAAGAAAACTCAATTCTACTCTTTAATTGGACCATAAAGCCCAATAAAAAATGGCTATATTAAATTATAGGGAAATTTTCACTTTAGTACCCTGAACTTTGGGGGTAGTGTCAAGTTAGTATCGGAACTTTCAAATGTGTCACTACACCCAAACTTTCAAAAAGTGTAAAGTTGGTCACTTTCATTAACCGACGGTCATCAATTATATGATCACGTGATAACATGTGCAACTTAAATTTTTTTTGAAAATGTCAAAACTACCCTTCAAAAGAAGACACTGTTCATTGTCTTCTACTTTGAGACTGAACCATTGGCGTATTTGAGATTCTGGACTAATGAAGACACCATTCATTGTCTTCTACCTTTAGGCCAAACGACACTCACCTTCCTCACCCCACTCTTGTTTCCTATTACAGTGGTTGTTGGTTTCGGTTCATAACAAGCTCATAGACAGCCAACGTAACTCTCCTCTTGGTCGAGGTCTCATTACAGCTGCAAAGTAGCAGAAACCATGAAAAGCCATTACAGCATTAATCTGAAAGGAAAAAGAGAGAAACAAGAAAGAAATTGTGTAGCTAGTTTTGATAGAATCAAGTCAAGAAAGGAACAGATGAAGGAAATGCAACTGGAACTTGCCATTTGTGACATGAAGCTGGCTGAGTAGGCGAGGCGGATGACCTTCCCTGGACGCGGGTGCCGGGATGAGGACAGGTTGATCCGGTGATGGAAAAGACGATAGGAAAGGCAATATTTGAGAGGAAAAAAAAAAGGCTAATGGGTTATTGACGTTTCTCTATCTAGATTGATTTACAACAAGATCCTTCTCTTTTCTATATATTGTGTAATCTGATTCTGTTGAAGGGTGTGGGGAGGACGACATTAGTGTCTTAGTTTCTGGCCCATTTTATTTTTCTTGGAACTGCAAAGGGGAAAGTATCTTTTTCTTGTCTATACATTACTGTTCTAGTCGCAGGCAAGGCATATGTGTGCATGACACATCTCCCTTCGTACGAGATCAATTCTCTAACAGGAAACAACACTCTCCTCCTTTCCCTCCTCCGCTTGATGCCCTGGAGATCCCACCAGTGACCATTCTTTCACCACCTCCATTACCATCACCTGTTCTCTTGCACCAGGATTCTTTTATCAATGCCACCGGTGCATGATTTCTATCTTCAATGAATAAGATTTTCTTCATGGTTGTCAATAAAAATTATTTGTTCTTTTCTGTATTTCTATTGTTGAGAAGAATACCAGAATCCATAACTATCTTGATATCCGAGGTGGTTACTGGTTAGATATTGGATACCCATCATAAGAAAACTAGATGATAGGTGAAGAGTATTTTTGTCCTTTTACATGATTCTTAATGTCTGTTGACGGTTTTGGACTAACTTGACACTTTTTTAAAGTTTGACGCATTTAAAAGTTCGGGTACTAACTTAACACTACCCCAAAGTTCAAGGTACTAAAGTAGAATTTTCCCTAAATTATATACATAAATTCTTTCAAGTCCAGCCAACCCACCCAAGCTAAGTTGTGTTGGGTTTGAGTTGATAAAGTTGGGCTTGACCTTGGATTTGGCAAGCCCAAGCCCAATGTTTGAGTTTTTAGGATTGGCCTAGGTTGACTTTCAACCCAACCCAACATGCCAGAGTTGCAGTCCTAACCGAAACTAGATTTGCTATGACTAAACACTTCCAAAGAGCCTCTCAAACAAGACACTACAGATGTACGTTGGGAGAAATTTGAGTACACATAAGCCATATAACAAGCCACCATTTTTTTTTTGAATTCCGTGGAGCTATACACAATTGGGGTAGCCTTGAGAATGGCAGCAGGGCAGGTTCGGGTGAGTACCACACTCCCCATCATTGTCAACCCATATTTGCTACGGCAGTGTGTAGCCCTGTGCTGAAACAAGTAAATCAAAGCCTTTGATTTTCTGTTATGGCCCCACTTTAAATTAGATGAAGTGACTTTTTGGTGGAGCCACTGCAATTTGTAGATCAAAGTCCATGATTTTTTTTTTTTTTAGCCATGGGTACGATAGTGTCCAAGCAAAAGTGAACTCCATCTTTGTCCCCAATTTCTAAGTAACTCCCCATCCCCACCTCTGATCCCGTTTAAGGGGAAAAATGAACCTCAATCCCTGATCCCCAATGAAGAGAGGCTCCCAATTGGAGACCCGAATCCCCAAATTTTTTTTTTAATTAAAAGCTTGCTATGGGCTTGAAAGGTAGGAACCATAAACAATTGGAAAATAGATTTACTTAAAATAAAGAAAAGAAATCATTAACGTAAATTGGTCTAGCAATTAACTAACGTGTCATTAATCAACATATATCTATATATATAGTGGTCTCACCACAAGCTTCACACAAGTTTTCCTGATCTCTCCATTTTCACATGTGTGGTATTCTTTCTTTCTTTCAAAATAACCCCATAGTTGATACTACCACATCATTTATCCCACCATTTCTCCTCCCTACTCAACGTTTTCTAATTCCTCTCCTCTTCAATTTCTCTATTTTGAAACAGCTAAGCACATGTGTTTCTTCTCTCCCATTTTGGATCAATTTCTCTATTTTGAAATGGCTAAGCACTTGTGTTTCTCTCCCATCTTGGAGGATAAATTTTCCCCTACCATTTTCTCCCTCTACTCAATGTTTCTTTTCCATCTTCTTTGTCCCCAACCCTTGACATTTTCTCTAATTTGAAATGGCTAAGCATCCATCTCTCTCTGTGTGGTAAGCACTTTATCTTTCATATAAACCAGATTTACTTTTGGAAACTCCATTTACAGGGTCAACTTTTTCTAGGGTTTTAACCTAACCTAACTTCTTCCCAATTTTGATGCAGGTTATTCTTTAAGGTCCTACTTTCTGTAATGGTAGAACATTGAGTAGCTTTAAGAAATCTCTAAGAGGCCAGTCTTTCTTCTTGTAACGGTAGAATAGTGAGTTTTAAGAAATCTTGAAGAAGCCTATTTTTCAATTTTGTTAGGCTCTGATTTAATTCTAAGAAATCTCTAAGAGGTTGGTCTTGTTTCTTGTAACGATAGAATACCGACTTTTGAGAAATCACAAAGCCTGTTTTCAATTTTGTTAGTGTCTCCATCTTGTTATTAACAGTAGAATATTGGGTTTTAAAAACTTTGAGTTAATTCTAAATTAATGGTTGCCTGAATATATGCCTCTGTAAATTCACCGTTGTGGAACTTATGTTATCTACCAAGATCAGATCACTCACTCAATCCATTTGTGGAGATAAGGTTGTTCATTCAACTCAGGTATATTTCTCTATTTCTTTTTTTAGGTCCAAATTGCCAATCTCCCTCTCTTATTGTTTGTAGTCTCTCAACTTAGGTATACTTCTCTGTTTTTTTTTTCAGTCCCAATTTGCCTACCTTCCTATCTTACTGTTTGTAGGTTACTGGGCATACGTTTCTTGGAAGCCTGGAGATAAGGTCATTTGCTCAACTCAGGTTCTAGGCTTCTCCCAACACAATAAGGTCATTCGCTCAATTCAGATAACCAAGGAACCTAATAGATTTCTTGCACACTCTGGCGCTTTAGTTTTTCCCACTTTTATTTGAACATTGGATTACTGAAACATGCATCAGTTGATTTGGTTTAGAGT